GTTAAGAGATATTAAATGTAAAAATATGGGAAATCAAAACTAATAACACCAACTACGTCTCCTTCAAAAGTTACAAAAATCTACCGTACAGTTTCGGATTAATTCGACCTTAAACTTCAAAGTCAATTTTCTCAAAACCGTGTTTTGTAACATTCGACATCCGTTTTCTGAGACGACGGTATGTACTCTTCACGGGTATTTAGAAGTGCATCGAGTTGTTGCAATGGTCATTTTTTTATTAGACTAGTAAGCCTTTTGTTTTAGGCGGCCGTGGTGGCTGAGTGGTTAGAGGTGCGTGCTATCACTCCGTAGGTCGTGGGTTCGATTCCTGGTCCGGGCAACCTTGAAATTATAAAAAGTTGTTTCTAAGAGCGGTCGCCTCTCGGCAGGCAATGGCAAATCTCCAAGTGTGTTTTTCTACCATGAAAAAGCTTCTTCTAAAAATCTGTTTTCCATTCGGAAGCGACCCTGCAGGGAAAGCTACTAGTAGTGAACTAGAATTCTACCGTTTTGCGTTTCAGCCGAACTAGTTCACGTTCTATCCTTTTTCAATGTTAGTGACTGGTATTTTTAACATTGCGATGTCCTACGAGATGTCAATTGTCAGGCTATGCATCAGCATCTACTAGTATAAATACTAGCAGCATCATACCAGTTGATGAGATAGTCTGTCAATTCATGCCCCGTCAAAAGCATAAGTGTGCCTTTTTGCTCGCGACGCTCCAGCAGCCACAATGGCCGGCAGAGAAGAGCACTCGCGTGGTAAGCCTGAGGTCCCAGGTTCAAATCCTGGCGCAGGTAAAATTTTTTATTTAATTTATATTTTTTATAAATTTATTTTTTGGTTATGCTGTTTATTGTAATTTTTTTATTTAATAAAAAAAAATATTTTTGTTTAATTTCTTTGTTTTTATATTTCTTCCTAAATGCTTTTTTGCAACGCAATTAGATTTTCAAATTTGTTATTTATTTATAAATTAAATAAATTATTTTTACTTACATTTATTTAACTTTAAAAATCTTAACCACCTCCAAGCGTCCTCGAACCTGCGATTTCAGAACCAGAACCAGTAGTCTTCACGTGACGCCACAGCCGACATTTGTAAGAAAAGCAATTAATTGCGTTTTAGTTTTGGCTTTGGCAATTCAAAGGCCGATGTCGCTGATCGCCTAAGTTCTTAGAAATTGTCGAACTGGTAGGCACATACTAGTTAATGAACTAGTATTTTTTCTAACTGGTTTGGCTTTTCACTGCAGGGGATGTAAAACTGTAGGTCACTCCATTTGTGCAACAACGGCAAGACGCACAACACAATTTGGAGGAGAAACTTGGCGAAATATCCAGCAAATGTGTAAGCGCTAAAATATTATTGTTAATTTTAGTAGGCCTTTTTTTGATTCGCTATTGTCAATTATAGTGGCACGGGATTTGTGCATATTTATAGTGTATACAAATATGAAGCGTAGCCGCTAACGGCGTTATAAGCGCCAATTTTTTATACCTTATTTTTTGCAAATTCCCGTTTTAGTATGGGCGACTTCGCGATTAGCGTATGTGATTATAACGACACGTGATTTTTGTATATTAAGTTAAACACGCTGCAAGCAAAGATGCCAGATGCATAGGAAGATATGAGATATTTATTCACATCACAGAAATTAATTTGAACTAATAGCAATGGAAAAACATAAGTATATTGAGTAAAAAATTGGTGAAAACCGTGTTAAGTTTTCGTCGAAAGATTTTTTAAACAGGGTTTAATTGATACTTTAGTACTTTTCTTAAGAAATTTTTTTCCAACTTTAAAATTTTCTGTAAAAAAAAATTCCCGACGAAAAATATATGCTTCCACAAAATCATAACCACAGTATTTTTGCGCAATGCTGATGGGAGTTATGTTTTTTTGTCGTGCTTTAAAAAAAAAACTCCCAACTGTCCAACTCCGGTTACGCTGACGATAGTATTTTTGCGCATTTTTT